GACGCCGCCGTGCTGCTTGGGCGCCGGGCGCGGCCTGCTCCGAGGCTCGGCCCGAGCCGGGCTGCTGCTGCGCGGAGCGGGGCTGCGGGCGGGACGCCGGCCCCGGTGTGTTGGGGAGTTCGCTGCGAATTTTGTTCTCGGCTGGTTAGAGAGAATTGCAGCGGCGCTGCGTTATGTGGTCTTTTGTGCGAGCATTTACGGCGCGGGTTTGTTTGACCGTTATTGTTTTTTTTTCACCTGTTCGCAGAGGTTTCTGCACAGCTGGAGGTGATCGGCGTGCGGTGTCTCTTTGCCATCCCAGCCGGGACGGGGTGCTGAGCTGCCCACGCTCCGTTTTCTCCCCTCCCGCATTCCCAGCACTCAACGTCTCTCTGTAGTGCCCAGACTGCTCTGTAGTGCTCTGAGCTTCACCCCCTCCCGTGCGTCCTCCGAGCTGGGACAGTCACAGCTGGGTTATGATAGCGTAGGGTCCTAGGAGGTGTTCGCTGCCGGCGCCGACAGCCGTGTACCTCCGTTCTGTGTTTATCAGGCATTGTTGTGCCCCTCTTTGTGCTTCGATGTTCCTGCAGCTCCTGGCTGAGGCGGCCTTAGCCTTGAGATGTTCTGAGGTGAAGCCTCAGTTTGAGCTCTTGAAGGTGTAAGATAAATACAGAACGTTCTGGTTCATGATGTGCTTCTCTGAGTGAGTCCCAGGCTTCAGGCCTTGCAGCCCCCAGGTGCAGAGATGGAAATAAATGACCCAAGTGTCACTGGAACCCTGGGGAAGGTCATCTGTCTGTGTGGAAATCTATTTTGGGTTGAAACAGGATACCTCACAAATGGGTGTCCCCAGTTAGAACTGCTGCGCAGCAACTCGAGAGCTCCGTTTTGCTCCGTCCCAGACTTCTGTTTCATTCAGGTCCATCACAGCTAATGGGGCTCTAGCAGCTGGTGCAGGGACAGCTGTGTGGAGAATGGGAGTTGCAGGTGACTCCTGATGAACCTTTGTTTGGGTGAAAGATGACCCTGAATCTGTGTCTGCTTGTGACTAATGTGTGTCCAGGTCCCTAGTCATGTGTTCTGCCATTGGCTCCTACTTTTTTTGACCCAAGTGTCAGTAGTGTGTGCAAACAGCCATGCTGTGCCTTGAGATCAGAGTGATGGAGCAGAACCAACCTGTTTGGATGAGTTTCCAGCAGCACCTGCTCTGATTTGGTGGGACTGTCTCCTGCGTAGTACAGGAACATACTGAGGTAGTTGGTGTTTGTTTGTTCCAGTTTTGCCTTAGCCCATGCTTTTGATGCCAGCAAGCTGACTTGTGCAGTTGACACAATAGAGGGGAGGGATGCCATCCGGAGGGACAGGCCAAGTGCAAGGTGTTGCACTTGAGTCAGGGCAATCCCAGATATGAGTACTGACTGAGAGAAAAACTCCTGGAGAGCAGCCCTGTGGAGGAGGAGTTGCGGTTCTGGAGGATTAAAAGCTGACATGAGCCAGCAGTGTGTGTGTGCAGCCCAGAAGACCAGCAGTATCCTGAGCTGCATCAGCAGAGGGGTGGCAGTTGAGTAAAGGAGGTGATTGTCCCCCTCTGCTCTGCCCTTGTGAGGCCCCATCTGGAGCACTGCGTCCAGGCCTGTGACCCTCCGTACAGGAGGGATGCAGAGCTGTTGAAGTGAGTCCAAAGGAGAGCCACAGAGACGATCAGAGGGCTGGAGTACCTCTCCTATGATGATGGGTTGAGGAAGTTGGGCTTGTTTAGCTTTGAGAAGGGAAGGCTCCAGGGAGACTTCATTGCGATCTCACCAACTTTTTCCAGTCTGATCGTGATAGGACAAGGGGGATGGCCTTGAAATCTTAAAATAAGATAGGTTTAGGTTAGATGTTACGAAAGAATGTTTTTATTCAGTGAGCTTCTGGAACAGTTTGTTCAGAAAGGTTATAGATGCTCCACCTCTGGGAGCATTTGAGGCCAAGGTGGATAGGATCCTGTGCAGTCTGATCTAATGGTTGGCAACCCTGCCCATGGCAGGAGAGTTGGAACTAGATGATCTTTAAGGTCTCCATTCTGTGATGTTCTTCTCTGTAGGACGAGCAGGTTGGTGCCAAAGCACAGGGCTTACAGTTGCGAGAAGAACAATGATGCTCTTCTTTCTCCCAACTCCATTTAGCCTCAGAATCTGGCCTGGCTCCCTGCATTGTGAGGCTTCTACAGCACATGCATCAGGCACTGGCTACTCATCTGCCACCCACTCTTGGTCTTGCTTCTTGAAAAAGAGCACGGAGAAGGAGAGCACTCTGTGAGCTCAGTGTAATGTGTGGATTTCTGGAGCTGCACTGCTGTGTGTGTCCCCCCACCGTGACGCAGCAGTGCGGGCGGCTGTGTCACCAGGGCACAGTGCTCCACTCCAAGCAGATAGTGAGGCCAGCAGGAAAGTGTGCCTGGGATCATCAGAGATGAGCAAGCAAGGAAACAGTTGAGGGAGAGCACAAAGTAGATGTGAAGGGAGAGCTCAGGGGCTGCGGCACAGTGAGGCCTGGCTCTGAGCACTGTGCTGGGGACTTCTTGTATGACATGGTGCTGTGCCTGCAAGTCACGGCTTACAGCCTGTGCCTGTGGGGCTGGGCAGGAAGCCGCCACTGGTGCGTGCTGCAGTCTTTGTTCTGTGGCTGTTCTGTGTGGAGTGGAGCGTCCTTGCACACAGAATGCAGGGAACTGGGGTGACTGACCCATGTGGAGCCTGCCTGATGTGGGCTGCCCTTGGAGCCGTGGTTGAAGCTTTGCTGCTGAGGGACTGGGGGTGATTTTGCTGCTTTTCAGGAAGGTCAGCTTCTGATGTTCTTGAGGCCGCTTCAGAGTGGGAATCTCTCTGTGCCCCGGGCCAGTACTGCACTCGGTGAGTGGGCCTGAGCAGGGCCTCTTCCTGCCCAGGACCGCGTCCGGCTTCCCCAGGCTGGGAGCAGGAAGTGCCCTGCTGCTGGGAACAGCCTCCAGGGAATGTGCTTTGAGCAGTGCAAAAAATGCTGTGCTTGTTTTTGGGGCTGTGCCCAGATTTACCCTGCAGGGGGGTGGTGGGGCTCTGGGGAGCACTGGGCCGTCCTTGGTTGTCAGCTGAGTCCTCAGGCACTGCCACACTGCAGGCAGGTCAGCGCTGTGGTGTTTGAAGAGAACTTCCCTAAAACAACAAGCTATCTAATGGATGTATTTATAGAATCTTGTTCCTTAATTTAATCTGCTTTTTCACTGTTTGTTTTTTATTTTTAAGTTCAAAGGTGTGATAGCAAAGAAACTAAACTTTGCAGGCGCCCGAGGGGGAGCTGAAATGTAACTCATGGTCTGCATCAGCCCGAAGCTCTGCTCTGACCTGTTCCGAGTTCAGAAAAACATTTACCAAGCACGCAGGCCGGTTCCTGCTGCTCTGCGCCAGCTCCAGCTGCATCCCAGTGCCCCGCGGGTGAGAGCTGCCCCGCCGTGCCGCACAGCTGGGGTCAGCCGGGTGCCATCCTGCAGGGTGCCATGCTGGCTGGTGGCACCACCAGCAGGAGGCTTCGTGTGGGTGCTGACCGAATGTGTGTTGGTGCGTGTGCTGGGTGCTCACCCAGGTGCTGGGGTAGAGCTCTGTTGGTGGTGGTCTTTTTACCACATGCTTGCTCCCGCTGCTTTGTAGGCTTTAGGCAGTCTGGTTTGGTTGTTTGTGTGGCGTTGTTATTTACATAGGCCCCAGATTTGCTCTTTTTTGTTGCCTGCAGCACCGTGTTGGTTCAGACTGGGCATTGTGAAGTGTAACCCTGGTCCTGCTGGCACCAGCACTCACCTCTGCCTTTTTAGAAGCAGTAAGTAACCTGCCATCTCTGCAGCCTTAGTGCTGGGCTTGGTCCCCCTGAGGAGACCCTGCCTGCAGTTTGTCTGCCTGCCCGCCTACAGCAGCGCTTGTGCCAGGTGCTGCTGTTGGATCTGCAGTGCTGGGGGGTCTGGGGCAGTCCTGCCCAAGCCAAGGGCCCTGCCCTGCTGCCGCTGCAGGAGGATGTGCCAAGGCAGAGGCACCTCTCCTCTCCCATGAGCTCTTTGGAAAGCTCTCCTCTCCTCCTGCTTCCAGCAACAGCATTTCTCCAAACGGGTTGGTTTCACCTGCTTCTCTCCCTCTTTGTGTCGTCCTCTACCCTGAAGTATTCGGTGCTGTTCTGCCTTGCTCATGGGAGATGCTCGGGCTCCTTGAAGGCCTCTGTCTGCTTTGCATTGGACCATCCTGTGCTGCTTCGTCTGTGTTCCCCTGGCGCTCAGGCACTCTGCCACGGGCACAATTTCGCATACAGACACATTTGTGGTGCTATGCGGCCGTGGCTTGGTTCAGGGGGGTGTGGTGGGGATGAAGCCTCGCAAGAGCCCTCATCGTGCCCAGTGCCTGTCGTGGGTGGGAACCTTATGCTGAAGCCATGGGGAGCGGATTTCTTGCTGCTTAAAATAGTAGAGCAGCTTCAGCCAGCCTGAGTCAAGGATGGAATTTGTTCTTATTTGGGAGGGAAGGGATGAGCTTGGGTTTTCCCATCGTTGCTAGATGGAGACCAGCCCATGCAAAATATCCTGGAAGTGATAAAATTAATCTCAGAAGTGGCTGCTGACCCAAATTCCAAACCAGTTGGGCATTGCACAAGAGTGTCGTCTTATCAAAAACAAACGAAAGCACAGAAGGTGTGTCTGCCTGATCCTGCGTTTGACTTGGCAGCCCATGGTTTTCGGGCACAGGCGCTGTGGCACGCATGTGGGCTTCCAGTGCTCTGTTACTCTAGGGAGTGCATGCTCTCAAGCAGCCCCTTAACTCTGCTGCTTTCTTTCAGGATCAGTCCACAATGCCTGAAGTGCGAGATCTCTCTGATGCCTTGCCTGATGTGCCAATGGATCCCATCACAGGGGTTGGCGTGGTTGCGTCCCGGAGCCGCGCGCCGACAGGCTATGATGTAGTAAGTAGAGCTAGTTCAGCTGCTGTTGCAAATGCTTTGGTTCTGCACTAATGAAACTTTACTCTGCTGGGAATAGTATCTCTTCCAGCCAGGATTTGCCATCAGGCATATTGTAAGAAGTAATTTGGTGTCTGCATGCCCACCTTGCAGCCCAGGGCGCTCAGCAGTGCTTTCCCTGGATGGAGGTCTGTAGGTGCAGTTGTGCAACTTTGTATGTGCTTCTCCTCCAGAGCATAATTACCTGGAGGAGGGGCTCTGAGAAACAGCTGGCTGCTGTGGCATGCAAATTTAATAATCCTAGTAACTGCCATCCTGAAGGATTCCTAAGTATCGCACAAATTACATCTCCAAATAAATGGATCCCGCATCAGCTGTTTAATCCCACATATCAGCACAGCATAATAATGATGAGAAGCTCCAGATTGGGAAGCAAAGAATTTCACAACCAGCTGAAATTGTGAGGGCGATTTTGATGGACAGAATGCAAACCTCTAAATTAAGCTTTGGCAGGAGGCTGGGCGGCAGGAAAAGGCAGCTGGATCCAGTGGAGATGAATATGTGAATGGATAGATGGAGGTCATTGTTTAACAGCTGCTTGTTCCCTGGATTAGTTGCTGTATAACCAACAGGGTGATTATATTCGCCTATAGATGAGTGTCCTAGGCAGCAGAACATCACAAAGTACTGACTTTGCAGAGCAGTGTAGGCAAGGTTTGGCCTACAGCTCATCTTTCTGTGTGTCCTGCTCCAGCTATGCTGCATTGCATCTTGGGTTTCAGTGTCACACAGCTCGTGTAGCTCACGTCCTCACAGCCCTGGGTTGCAGTGTGCCCTGTGCTGCTGTGTGAGAAGGAAGGAAATGGGGTCGGGCTGCAGTAAGGAGGGGGGAATTGTGAAAAGGCTTCTGAAAGGCAGAAGTTTTTTTGCATTTACTGCATTTTTCTGAGCACTGATTGCCTGTGTGAGCCAGGCTGTGTAATTAGCTGCTTGCCCTGATAAAGGAGCATGGGGCAGTGTGAGAGACATGGTAACAGAATAGCGTTCTGCCTAAATGACCAGGCAGAGACCTCACTTGCCCCAGATAGCATGTGTGGAGTTTAATGGGGGCTGCAGCCCCAACACTGTTTAAACTAAACAAGATATAAGATTCTTCCTGAGGCTTAATCGGATTATAGTGGTGTTGCAATAATGCTTGAGAATGTGGGTCGCTCTCTCCTAGGGGGCATGGGGAGGAGTCTGTCTTGCTTCTGATTTTTGTCTCACTTGGTGTTTACAAGGAGCTCTCCTCTGACCCTGGGGCCAACAGCTTCTGCTGAAGGCTCTGAGGTGTCTGCTTCCTGCAGCAGCTCTGCCCATGTTCTGTGCATGCAGCAGGTAGCTCTGCACAGATCACAGCTGGTGTCCCACTATGCAGTATGTGCAGTTGTGCGGCTTTATCCAGCATGGATGGATGCACTCAGGGCAGCACTTCCTTCAACCTCCAGAACCCAGGCTGTAGTGTCTTAAAGCAGGAAGCCAAGCACGCCCTGACCACAGGTAGCTTTGGGAAGGTCTTGCAGCTCCCTGGGGGATGCCATCTCTTTGCCCCTTGCCGCAGCATTCTGTAGCACTCTATTCCAACAGCGGGCTCAGAGCTGTGGGAATGCTTTTCCTCTTAGCAGTAATGAATTGGGCATTGTGTCGTTTTGTTGGTGGGTTTGAATTCTGTGATGGCATAATAACCAGTTCTTTTTTTCTGAGCCAGATGCATTATATGTAGGCTTTATCTAGTTTTCCTTTCATCTGTGCACTTTCCACAACACGCAGCCATTACTGCGCTACTTCCCTCCCTTCTGCCCTGTGCAGGGCAATGCCTGGGGCTGCGGCCGGGCCCTGGGGTGCTGCCTGCCCAGGCAGGGGTGGCAGGGACTGGGGGGATCTGAGGGTTGGTGTTTTTTTTCATCTTTTAAGTTTTTTTTCTTTCAGTAGTTTTCTTAATTATCCAAACAACTCATTTCCCTTTCAGTCTGCTTAGGAAACAGCTGCTGGTGCTTTGTCCAGATCTTTTAGTAGCTGAAGCACTAAAGAATGCATTTTGCCAAAACATACAGAGTGTGTCTGAACTCAGATTCCTGAAAATCCACCCCAGCTGGCACTGCTGAGTGCAGAGTTGGGCAGGAAGGGTGAGTGGGGAGCTTTGCAGCATGGCACAGGCTGCAAGCAGTGCAGACTGTGCTTTTCTGCTGCCTCTCTGGGTGTCTATAGAGCTGTGAGTGGGAATCCTCTCCTGTTGGGTTTCAGTGCATTCTGGAGTGGGAAGGCATGAAGAGCAGCTGAGCTGACCCATGCCTCTGACCCCTTGGTAAGGTCAAGGTGGATGTGCTGGCACCCATTACCAGGCATCTGCCCTTGTCCTCTGTGTTCACCCTGGGTAGGAGGACATGGCTGGGGCTGCCTGGGGCCACAGCCCTTCCTCGTCCCTTCCCCTCAGTGCAGCCCCCACGGCCATGCCCTCATGCACGGTGCTGCTTGGGTGCAGCTCCACTCCACGGCGCTGGGGATCCTCCCCACCTGCTGGTGCCCAGAAGATGATGCAAGAACTTTCTCATTTTTCTCACTCTGGTTTTTTTCCCCATGAGTTTTCTGACAAGTTAATGCATGCTTACATGTAAGCTTAGAAAAAGGATTCAGCAGGACGATGCGAAGCCTCAGCACTCAGGATTAATTGCTGGGGATGGTGCCTGCAACTGCCGCATTTCAGTAGAAACAAGAAAGGTTCTCTGGGCTTGCCCTGCCCGTGGGCACTGGGTGCCAGTAAGACCTGAACCCCCCTGTGTTGGTTTCCTGCTCACAGTTCTGCAGCGCTGTGGAGGCGGTTGGGCTGTGTGGGGCAGTGGGGCATCGAGGCAGTGCAGGAGGGAAGTGGGGGCTGATGGGCCACGTGCTTCTCTTGATGACTCGCTGGTAAACTGGCTTCAGCTGCTGCATGTGGTAACTGTGGGGTTAGAATTGCAGGGTGCTTCCCTAAAAGGGTTTGTGGTGTGGCTTTGCTGTTTTTTTACTGTTTCTTTTTGAGGGCTTTTTTTTATCACTCAGTCCGTGTGGGACACTGCTGGGCTCTGCTGCTCAGGGCAGGCACTGGTGGCTGCTCACAGCCCGCAATGGGGGCAGTTCCTATGTCCTGTTCCTAGGAATGAGCTCATCAGGGATTTGTGAGCAGAAGATGCTGAAATGTGAAATTGTGAAGAGCAACCCATGCACTTTGTTGCCTTTGTGTTAGACATGCACTTCTCTCCTCCTCTTTGGATAATGGGGGGCTCAGCATGCACCTTGCCTCCTGCCCTCTGCATAGAGCCTCTGCCCTACAAAATATGGATGCAGACAGTACCGAAAGATACCAGCTTCTATGTCATCAGGCTGTGCAGGGGTCAAGGTCTCACTTAGATCGGTGTGATCATGGCTTAAGAAACAGCAGAGGGGAAGTTTGTTCCTTCCTGAAAGGCACTGGGCGGTTCTGCCGTGCTTACTGTCCTGTTGGACTCCTTGTGGGAGCTGTCAGTGGGACGATAGGGGGGTGTACGACTTGTTTGCTGTCCCCTCTGCTTAGCAAGCGTGCCCTCTGGGCAGGGCTTTCTGCCCCCAGCTGCTGGCACAGCCCTGCTCTGGCCCCAGCGCCCCTTGTGCCGTGCCCCGAGTCACCGCAAATGACATCTGCTGCTGCCTGCCTTCCTTGTGCATTTGTCTCTTCCGTGCAGAACCTGTGGTGTTTCCCTCACCCTCCAGTTTGCTACTGATTGTACTGAATGCAATCGCTGTCACAGCTCCACAACTCATTTGATGTGATGCTTTAATCTGGTTGAAGTCGTGTAAAATCACAAGGAAAGACAACGATTTTTGCAGGAGTGCTGTTCTTCCAGTTTCGTCCTGTCAGAAGTGGCCATGGATGTGGGCAGCCTTGGAGCTGTCACTTTGCGGATAGGTCTCCAGTGCTTTGTCAGAATGGACCCCTCCTTGCAGCTTGCACAGTGTGTATATAGTGTAGTGAATGCCTCAGTATGCTGACTTGTCCAAACTATTGTTTGGAGACTGCACCAGAGTTGCTGTTTCCTCATTAGAATAGCTTTTGTCAGAGCATCTTTAATCACTGCACTCTCCAGAGACAGCATTTTTAGAACTTTATCATACCTCTGCTTGGAAGTTCTCTGCACTGCACCTTCTGAAGAAACTAATGAGATGCTGTGAGAGTTTGGGCTACCGTTAATTAGAAAGGGTCTGAGAAAGAAGTACTGCACACATATTAATGTTATCTTGGCTTACATATCTCCTCTATCCCTCTGTTTCTTCTTTCCAGGTTGCACAAACAGCAGATGGCCTGGATGCTGACCTCTGGAAGGATGGCCTGTTTAAATCCAAGGTCACACGATACCTGTGCTTCACAAGGTCATTTTCAAAAGAAAATGTAAGTCCTTTTGCTGAGTGTCTGCATGATTTGCATTTGTGCCTGGTGTGTTCTTACCTATACAATGATTACGGCTGTGGAGCCAATTATAATTTAAGCGAGTGTTTAGCTGAACTGGGGTGACCAAGAAGGCAAACTGCAATGGCCAGATATTTGTGTTTTGTCTGTGTTCTTTGGGGAAGGAAATCATTGGCAAAATCTGTAATAAAGGCGGCAGAAAAGTGCATGTTTGCATTTCAGCAGCTCCCTTCCACGAGCATTTTCTCTTCTTAAAATGGGAGCTGCATGTTCCAAATGATGATCACAGAATCACAGAATGGCCAGGGTTGGAAGGGACCTCAAGGATCACGAATCTTCAACCCCCCTGCCACACGCAGGGCCACCAACCTCCCCATTTAATACCAGCTCAGGCTGCCCAGGGCCCCATCCAACCTGGCCTTGAACGTCCATCCAGGGATGGACGGGGCATCCACAACCTCTCTGGGCAGCTGGTCCAGCACCTCACCACTCGCTCTGTGAAGAATTTCCCCTGATGATGGTTCAGATGATGAACCTCTAGCTCTGATCACTTGGAGAGTTACGTTTTCTTCCTTTTTTTTCTTGTGCCAATTCTTAAAAATTTGCCCACACTGTGCATACACTGCCCTATACTTGTAATCTTCCAGTGTGGCTGTGAAACACGGCTTATTGTTGATTGGTGGCAGCTGTGTGCTCACATCTCCTGTGGAAGGGAGGAGGCCATATGCAGTGAGAGCCTGATGCCTTCTGCTGTCTTCACTTAATTTTTCAGCTGAGGGTAGTGTGAAAACTTTCTCTTTTCCAGGAGGAACTGTTCAGTTCGACAATGAATGCGCTCCATCTAGTGGGTAATTCTGCTTTTCTTGGTGTTTTAGATATTCTCAGGGACTGGATTCTCAAGGGTGTAGTGGTATCATTTTGTACTTGAGCCTTTCCCAACAACAGAAAAGCAACTGTGACTTTGGAGGTTGATCACAGATCTTGAAATGAAAACCAAGGGCCTGTCAATTCCCAGCTTTTGACCTTTATTCCATCCACTTTCCTTCTGTCCTCCAGATTAAAATAAAGCTCTAAAGCTATGCTTCCTGGGGTCAACAGACAATAATTGTGCAATACATCCTTGAGTAGCTGCAGTAGCAAGAATGATAGCCCTGAATAGGTAGGGAGGATACTAAACCAAAAGATTTGTGATTATTTGGTATTAAGTTTATCTGTGGCTACCTTAAATGCAAGGTTGTCAGAAATAATTACAGGATAGTAGCAACTACTGGCTATCGGAGGCAGTGTAAATCCCCTCAGTCAGTGTCTGTTGGGCTTTGGCATGATTCATCTGCTCAGCATGGTTTGGGAATACATTCCTCATATTTATGAGGAATGAATTAAAGCAAATGTAGCAGGAGGGCTGCGGGGGTCTCAGCTGTGCAGCAGACGGAGGTGCGAGGAGCAGCACAGCACTGCGCCCCGCGCTGGGGCTGAGAGGCAGCCTGCTGGGGCACCGCTGGGCAGCTGCTGCACTGAGCCGTGCTCCCACGCCTGATGGCTGGCGAGGAGCTCCTGTCTTTGGAGGCCCGATTTCCTGAGGGTGGTCAGCCTGCTCACACCTGCAGGGATTCCCTCGTGGGGCTGCTCCTCCGTCCAAGCTGAACAGAAGGTGCAGAAGGTGGCTTAGGATGAAATTTTATTTTCTTCTGTATTGTCTTCATGTTTATAAAGGCTGCATACTAACTAAAGTATAGAGGTTTTTTCTTACGTGAGTGTAGATTGCTGGCAGCAGTGTTGGCTTTAATGAGAACTGCAAAGAAAATCTGGTCTCAGTTGTGGAGGTTGTCATTCTGAATTGTGTTTTTAGCTCTTCAAGCCTTGATTAATAGGACAAGGCATCAGTTCAGAATTGATATGGACTCAACTGAAGTTCTTTGTTCCAGATGGCCTGCTTTTCTGGAGCACAGCTTTGTTTGGAGCTAGAACTGTCTTTATTCAGTACTAATTAGCTAATGCATGTAATAACTTTGGCTGTGTCTGCGTGAACCATCTTCTTGTAATGCCTTCTGCCGTTGTTGTCACAGAAGTGTTGTGTTGCTCTTTTAGAAGCAGTGAGAGCACTAAGGTTACCTGATGAACTGTTTCTTTTCTCTCTTCAGAGTCACTTAGGAAACGTCTTGGTTGACATGAAGCTCATTGACATCAAGGACACCTTACCTGTGGGCTTCATCCCCATTCAAGAGACTGTTGACACACGTAAGTTGAGGCTGTTTCTTCAGTCCCATGCCCTGGTGCCTGCACAGTTGGCAGGCCATGTCCTGGGCAGAGGGATGCTCTGGGCATGTCTGCTCTGTGTGGCACAGGAACATTTCAGGGTAGCTCTTCCTGTATTCTCCAGACTCATTAATACTGCCTGACTGCCATTGGCCTGCTTGCATGAGTGGAAAGGAAGAACTTGTCCTTCCATCTTGCAGGGTTGGACTGGGCCAGTAAAAGGCAGAGCTGCCATGCTGGGGGATATTCACAGGCATGTGCTGAAAGCACGTGTGCACAGTGCTGTGCTCATGCACACGCAGCTTCGTACCACCTGCACAAACACAGGCGCAGGCCTCAGCACAGACTGCTGAGATGTTTGAGCTTGTTGAGAGAAGCCAGGAAAAATGCTGTCCTCACTTCTGTAAGGCATTAGAGACTGTCTCACAGTGTTTAAGAGAGCAGTTCCTAAGCAGTGTCTTCTGTTCCCTGAGCCTCGTGGCAGCCGCTGACGCTGTGCTGGGTTGAGACAGCCTGGCCTGCAGCAGGCACCGAGTGCTCCTTGCTTCCAGTGCAAAGGGACCAGGGGAGCAGCCCAGGGCAGATGGCTGGAAGGGTTGCAGGGCACAGGGTGTGACTACACAGGGTGCACGTTGCTGGCACCTGTCCATGTCAGTAATGAGATCCAGACCTGTTATAGACAGAAAGGAGGCTTGTGAACCTGCTCTGCAGGGAGTCATTCATTCTGGTCTGCAGCAAATTATGACTTTTTTAGTCCCTGCTGAACTGGTTCTGATTTGAACACGTAACCTAGAAGTGAAAAGTTCTGCAACCTGGTACTGGGTGCCTGACCGTCCCCCTTCCCTGGAGAATTCCCCAGCAATGTGCACCCCTGGAGTGTGGGGTAGTTGTCAGCTGCTGGTGCAGCGTTTGTAGCAGTGCTGGTAGAAAGGTGAGAGGAGAATTTGTCCTTAATTTAAAATGCATTGGATTTGCAGCCCGTATAGAGGCACTGTCTGTATTAATGAAGAGGTGCATATCCCTGTCTCCATTAGCATGACTGAACACATTTCGATTGACTGTTTATATTATGTTTACTTAAAATTAACTCAGGTTAAGCATGAGTAATTAATGGATTCTGCTCGTAAACCAAGTTTGCTGCAGACTCTAGCCAAGTGTGGAAGAGATTGAAGATGAAAGCAAACATTCGGCTCTGTACTTGCTGTGAAAGTCGAATAAGAGGCATGAGTTTTGTTTAAAACTGAGTGTTTTGGTTATGTGAGTTTTTGTATTCTCCTCTAAGGGACGCTTGACTTACGGTAAATAGGTAGAACATTCCTTAGTGGTCTTGACAAAATTTTCAGATGTGAAAGCCTTAAACCTTGAAACAGTATCCTAAAATCATTTTCAGACATGCCAAATAAAGGCCTCACTTTTCCGAAGCAGGAGTGGACTAGAATTTAGGGATATAGGTATCGAACGTCTATAAAAGGCAGCACTGAGAACGCAAGGGTGAGTGCACAGCTGCTGTACTGCGACACACCTCACTGCCTGTACACTTGTTGGTACTGGACGGCAGGTTTCCAAGGCCAGGATGGATTGCTTTCTCTGAGATACAGATTATGAAACAGGAGGAGCCTACACAGATAGGACTGCTTGCCATCTGGTGAAGTGAGGGCATATTTTTATACTGGAGGATATTTATTCATATTAAATTGGAAAGGTTTTATTTTCCAGGTGCTTTCAGATTTTTCATTCATTGTCTGCACTTTCCATTTTTCACTTTATCTGTAAACTTCTGTCATGTCTTTTAAGTGTCTGCACAAATGGATACCTCACCTTGCTGACATTGAGCCCTGCAGATCATTTAGGAAGAGGTGGAGCAGATCTGTATCTGTGTACCAGAACCATGTATTATCCTGTGACTGACCCATAACTGGATGTGGATTATCTGCATGCAGACAGACAGCAGCCTTATTATACATCAAGTCAAGCTACAGATAAGCCTTAACTTTGATGGGCTTGACTTATTCATAGTGGATAACATGGAAACAAGTGAAATTTCCCTGTGATGCAGCATATGGAAGGGCTGTGCAGGAGATGCTTCTATCCTTTGAATATGGCTCAGCCCAGTTCTCCTGTTGGGGCCCCAGCAGTTACTGCTTTGTAAATCTGATTTTAACCCTACAAAGATGCCACAGCATTTGCAGTGGGAGTATCACTTCAGTGCTAACTGACAGTCAGGACAGGTTGTTAGCACTTGAAATGTGTGAGAGTTGGATAGGTGAGGTTTTTTACCAGCTAGTCTACATGGCAGCATGTTTCCTGCTCCTCCTCAGTGCAGTTTGATTGGCTGTCTGGAAGCACTTGACAGAACAAACTGCCTGGTTGCTTCAGCAGATACCGAGCCTGCTGAGTCAAATGCTACCTCAGAAAGAGGAACTGAATATGAGAATTATATCATAGTATGGCTTTGGTTGGAAAGGACCATAAAGATCACCCAGTTCCAACCCCCTGCCGTGAGCTGGTTCCCACCCAGTGGATCAGAGTGCCTGGAGTCCCATCTAGCCTGGGCTTAGTACAGGAAAGTATGAAAACCACTTGCCCCTTCTTCTGTGGGTGCAGTGCTATCCTATGTGTGATGTCTTGTCTTCTCTGCAGAGGGAAGTAGGAAGTGTTGGTTTATCACAGTGCCCAGTAACAAATCTCACATCGTATACAGAGAGTTTCTGATAGAAGATTTCCTTAGTCATCAAATGGCACTGTACTGACTGGTGTGCTGACATGTATCTGTTTTTTGGCTCCATTTCCTGCCGTGATTATCTGCCTAATATCTGGAGAGACAATAAATAACATTTATATCCCGATCTTGCATTAAAAAAAAAAAAAAAAAAAAAAAAACCCGAACACCTCTGTTCTGGATTGTTTTTGCAGAAGAAATAGCTTTCAGAAAGAAGAGGCTGTGCATTAAATTTATCCCTCGAGATTCTACAGAGGCAGCCATCTGTGATATCCGAATCCTGGGAAGATCAAAGCAAGCCCCTCCTCAGTACACATTCATAGGGTAAGTAGCACTACTCCTGGAGCCCGTATTTTGGGATGTAGCAAGGCTGTGTGCCTTGTCTTCCTGTAATTAACTAGTGGGTGTTTGTAAGAACTGGAAAGGTCTGTGTGATTACAAGTGTTACTGATTGTGATGTGGAAACTAGTAAACCTGGAGTCACTGAACCTGGAGGAACATTTAGACGTTATACTGAAGGACATGATTGGGTGAGTACTATTGGTGGCAGGTGGATGGTTAGACTGGATGATCTTGTAGGTCTTTTCTAGCCTTGGTGATTCTATGATTTTGCTGTTATTTTTTCAATAAAACTAGTTCTTGGTAAGAACTTGGCAGAGCTGTTTATGAAATTTACCTATTGATAGTTGTGCACATATGTGGCATTAATGTCTTCTGTGCTGACTACCCAGGGAGTTGAACAACATGGGCATTTGGTATCGGATGGGCAGAGTTCCCCGCAACCATGAATCTTCACAGCCTGCTGCTCCTTCCCAAGCTCCATCTCCAGCACCAGCTCCCAACCTGCCAAGGTGAGTTTTCTGCTTTCCAGCTCTTTCTGCTTTGTGCAGTGTGGCATGGTGGAATCAAGACCAGGGGCACTGCCTCAGTATGAATAACTGTGTGGCATGTTTTGTGGTTTCAGTCTACATGTGAGTTACCCTGGAGGGTGGGCCAGAACTGTAGTCAAGCTGATTTGTCTCCTTGACGAAAGAGGAGAAGTATGCATACAATCTGTAATGGGTAGGGAGACAAGTTCTGCTTGTTCTTCAAAATCAGTCCACTCGTGCTTTGAAGTAATAGTGCTTTTTTTGCTGTTTCTTGGACCCATCCCACTGCTTCGGGTTTTCAGTTGGCATTGTGTATGCAGAGCAGACTGTTCACTTTGCAGTGAATGACAAGAGCAGCAGTGTTGGGCAGGCACTGGCATGGTGTCTGTCCGGGTTGTTTGCCCTGTTGTATGGTATCTGTGTGTGTACTGATGTATGCACAAGTATTCTTAAGGTATAATAGTAGTCCCATAATGACAGCTTACTTGCTGCATTTCTCTGGAGAAAAGTGTTGTTAAGCAACAAACCAACCTAGACAGATGTTAAACTGAGCGATTTACACTCCTAGATTTGATGCGAAAGCACCGCCATGTAAGATAGGCTTTTACTGGTGAGTCTGGTCACACTGAACTGCTGCCCCAGCCATTGCCAGGGGTCAGCATGTTTTCTACAGATCCCTTCGTTTTTTGCTTAATAGAGCAAAATACATATTTTTGCATTAGGATTTGGTGTAATGCAAGTATGTTTACAGTGTGACGGTAACTGTTGAAAGCTGAAACATCAAAGGAGTCAACAAAGAGTAATTCCAGTGAAGTTGTATACAAAGGTCACAGTCATTCCAGAGAGTGATGCTTTTAAACTGCTTTGAACTGTCCCTGAAAAACCTACTGACTATATTTATAAAGCAAATGTGTATATTAGAGCCCTCACCTGCACCCCAGACTTAAATCTGCTGTCTTATGGTACCTCTGACTTCTCCAAGGAGTTTGGGTGCCTTTTTTCACCAAGAGGTTTGCTCAGTGCTGTGCCTCGGCCCCCTGCTTGCTGTCTTCCTTGCCAGGTGCTGTGCAAGCAGAGGTGCTTCCGTGTTTCTTGAACAGAAATGGAGGCAGAAGAGGTGAAGAGTCGTCAGGCTTCTGGAAACGTTTGCCTGTCTTACCAGGAGTTATTGCATCGTTTTGAAACACCACTGGTCGTGAGCTATGTGCTGGTGAGGGCCTTGCATGATCAGGAGAGATGTTCTGATTTTTGAGCACAGCTCTTCATTTTCTGTCTGCAGAAAATTCCTGCCTGGGCAAATTTCCACAATAAAGAGAAAAATTATCATAGAGAGAGAATGTCAATGGCAGTCCTTAATCACTAAGTGTGGAAGGGTCACTTTATAGCCGAACAGGGAAGGCTGCAGAACAGCTTCAGAGCTATTGGGAACAGGGCCAAAATTAGACTCAGAGCATCAGCAACAGTCTGAAAAGAAGTGTTTACAAGGCTTATATATTTTATAACCTCTTGTTGTACAGTTTATGGTTTACAATGGCTGCAAGGAAATTGGATCGGTTTTGTTTTACTTGCCAAATAAAGCAAATGTCAAAATAGTCAATATAAAATGTATTCTAATTTGGCTGAGTTAAAACAGCCAGTATGCAGTGGAATAATTGAATGTTACATTAATGCCTCCTAGTAAAAACCACCTGTCTGTTGCCAGCTCTGCTCCCATGCCCACCATGTGATTTAGAGATAACTTTTACACCACCAGCCTGATCATTCAAAGCATTTTTCATGTCTGTTTTTTACTCTGATTATTTATTATTCAATATATTTTTTAAGAAATAGAAATATATATATAAGGGTGCACCCTGGAAATATTTCATTATTATGGGACATGCATGCTACTCGAGAAGCCTTTTCTAATACTATATCAGCAATGTAGTAAGTTACTCAAGTTTAATGTTTGTGGAAGACTGTAGTCACAAGTAACCTCTTATTTTTACATCACCATAGAGAGATGCGATTACGGCTGTAGCCAGTTTGCCATTTTATTCTGTGTGGATGAATTCTGACAGGAGCAGCAATGAGTTGCTCTGCTACTGTGAGTGCTGAGATCAAAGTGGTGAGCAGTGCAGAATGGAGCTCTGTGGAGATCCGGCTCTTAGGCTGGTCAGGTATTTGTGCTGTTCTCTTCAGTTGCTGGCTAGCTTTGTAAAACAACTTTAAATCAAAATGTTGTGCTTGAGTCTTTCTGAGCAATTGTTAACTCTGAGTATAAACTAAACATGTATAAACCAAACATGAAAAACACAGCACTGAGCTTCTACACAGCAAACATGTCTGCTGAGGAGAGCTCCTTACAGCGGGAGGTTTTAGTTTTTATACTAACAGTGTTTGCTCTGCTGGTCCTTGATGCAGGTTACTGATTGCCATCAGTGGAGGCTCATCAGAGCTTTGTTCTGTGTCAGAAGTTTGACCTCTGCAGCTTGCTACTTGGCAGAACATTGCTTCCTTTCTGTGCCGATGGGTTATGGCTCACATCAGAGCTGCACAAGGGGAGGCTTTGTTTGATATTCTTACTGGACTGCATGTGTTATTTTCTGGCCACTTCTTGGTGTTCCATACTGCAGGCATCTGTCTTACTGGTCTCTAATGGCTGCAGCAGCACATCCCAGCAAGGATGGCACACTGTGCTGTTCTTTAAGGCTTCAAGCTACCTTTACTGCTTTTTCTGTCCAAATCCTGTGACAGGCCTTGGCATTAATGACAGCCTGGAGAAATGCCTTTGCAGATCCTGTCCTGGGAAGCTGCTACTAAAGAGCCATTCCTGTTGACCTAAGTCACCAGTGAGCACTCAGTGCGAGTACCCGCAGTTCCTTGCACTGTGATGCATGCGGCCTCCAGTACTAATAATGCCAGTTCTGCATGTGACTGCATTTTTGGTACAGTGGATAGTGCTCCCACAGGAGAGGTGCCAGTAACAGGCCATTCATCTGGCCTTTGGCATGCTTCTGTTTCATCCAGCCTGCAAGTCAGTGACTGCAGTGTGCGTGTCGGGCCCTGCAGGAATACACATCAGCAGCATGTAAGCAGTGTCTCAGGGCTCAGACCGTCTCTGGCTCAGGCTCTGCCTGGGCTGGCAGGGGGCTGCTGTGCAGTGTCCCCGTCTTCTCCAGTCCACTTGCAGCTGGATCAGCTCCTGCGAGCCCGGCGCTGACCTTCGCTTGCTTTGCCCCATGACTCCCGTGGCAGCTGCAGCTCCTGCGCTGTGTGCGGCCCTTCGGGAGCTGCTGAGCCCCACCACCAGCGCCGGGCTGCGGCCGTTTGTCAGCTGCGAGCAGATGTCAGTCAGCGCTGCTGAAGGGTGCTTTGCAGTGACAGACATAATTGCACTTAACTTAGTGTGTGGATGTTATCAATCTGTGACAAATACTTTGGGAAATGGAGCGCTCTGATTGCGGATGATGTGTCACAGGCGTTCAATCTTCCTCTTGGAGAGTCTGGGGTTCAGTCACAACTTTTACTTGTTGATGTCAGGCTTTGAAAATGTCGATTGTCACTGACCCCGAGAGCCGTGTGGGGCTGTGAGCTGCAGCTGGGAGGAGGAAGAGGCATCATTGTGCCGTGTGGCCATGGCAGGGCCTGGGCTGCTCCTAGCCTGCAGGGTGAGCCCACAGCGAAGGGCTGGGCTGCTGCTGCTAGGGCCCAGAGTCTCCATCGCCAAGCAGAGGAGTCAGGTTTTCAGGTTGATTTATTAATGGTGTTTGAACTTTGTCCTGGGGGCTTGGAAAGCGATCAGTGTGTGGCTGCGTGCTGCAGGATGATGATGTGCAAGAGGCAGCAGCTAATAAAGCAGCCATGTGCCCTTCCTCAGTGGCACGCCAGCCCCACTCTGTGCAGCAGGGGAACTGCAGGCAAGGAAGCCTCTGCTTTCCCTGGTTTGTAAGTAACAACAATAATATTTTGAAGTAACAGCGTTAATTTTTTCTTGAAGACATTTAGAGCAGTTTTCTTGGAGACTCTGTAGAGGAGAAAGTTCTGAGCTTTCAGCGCTTGCCTGTTCCAGTGAGGAGCACAGCCAGGACTTCAGGAAGCTGCCATTGAGCAAGGACAGCCCCCACTGGCAGCCTGGTAGCCGGGGTCTGCCTCAATCCCTCATCTGAATGAAACACTGCCGCACACAGAGGTAGATGGCTTTGATTTGACTGGAAGCCACTCAGAAACCTGCCTGAGAGAGCTCTGTCAGTCCAGTCCTCTACAAAGTCTTTCTTTCTGGGTGGAGATGCATTTTTCTGATAAGTTCTACTCTAGAGCTCTTTTGAAACTAATTTGCAGTTAATAAAGTATATTATTTGATTTGAATGCTCAGATCACTTAAATCGTGAAATATTCTTGTTTTTAAATTATTTACCCTGTTACAGACCAAGGGTGGCATCGCAGGCTGCGGATAAAAAGCAATGAGGCAGGTGTTCAGTTGAACCTTGGAGGAAGTGTCTGCCACAGACCCGCTGCCGTAGCAGCAGTGAGAAGCAAACGTGAAGGCAGAAGTTGTGTGGTGTGTGTACGCTGTGCGAGCCTGGACCCGGAACCCTGTTTAACTGGGTGAGCAGCACTGGCATACATTGATCCAGAGTCTGCTTCCCATAAGGAATTTGCTGTGAAGCTACACTGACCGTATGGCTTGCATCCAACTCAGCTGGATGAAGACGTGCAAAAATTGGTTGCAGTCCAGTATGTTTTAGTGGCAGAAAACGATGATTAGGAAAAAATGTTTAAACAGTATGAGTGGTTTCCAGGCACAAGATTCCCTTGCAGCACTTGAGAAAGAAGGACATTTTCTGCAGTTGCGAGAAGTATGATTAATTTAGCTGATTTTGAGGATGCATTGAAAAATTGTGGGGAGTGCTCTGTGTGAAGAGGCTTCAATATCCTTAGAATCATTTTTCTTTATAGAGCTCTGCTCCTGGTGTAGTAATATTCCTAAAGGCATGTTTTCTTTAGGGTGTAGCATAGGGTCATTAAATATGAACCAAAGGTATTCATTCACAGAAGCTGTGTTCTCAGTTGTTAAATAAGCCCAGTGGGGGAATTTGAGCATTTTTTCCCCTAAAACTTGTATGTTGTTTCCTATTTAATATGATCTCTGCCACTGTTGATTTGTAATCTGTGCTTTCACCCCGAAGTGCATGGGGTTGTGTTCAGATATTTCCTTCTTTAAATCAATCACTTTCACCATTTTCAAAAGCACGTTTCGAGTTTATTGCTTTTAGTAAAGTGTTTGGACTGTCATTATTTATTACTGGCAAAGTGCTGACGATGTGCTCTTCCCAGATGAGTCTTTACAGGGGTATTTGCTGGGCACGGTGCGGGGCCGTGTGCTGGTGGTGTGGGGCAGTGTGGGACTTGGCTTGGCGCGGTCCTGGGCTCCATTGTGATTGATTTGGTGGAATTTAAAGTGCTAGCCTGGAAAACCTGTGCTGCACATAATGTATCTTTTTGGATGATTTCTGCTGCTCTGCAATTCTACCCTACTGCTTCATTACCGAAGAGTTCATGGCCCTGGGAGCGCGGTGCGGGCTGCAGTAGGCTGTGCTGCTCCACCCGGAGCGCCACTGCATGAGCTGCAGCCGGAAGGCTGAGAGCTCGGTGCCGTCCTCTGCCCGTAACAGTTTAATGGGCTACAGGTCAGACTTTCAAGCAGCATAAATTAAACTTGTTGGTCTTTTTCTATTTGGCAGCTGTTCCATCCTGGTTGCTTATAGTCTCTGAACTAAGTTAATCTCTGCACAGAGGAGCTGCAGCAGCTTCATTCACGTCGAGCCGTGCGTCCTGGCTGCCGGTCTGTGGCTCCATGCAGCCCCAGGGCTGTGGTTGTGGCATGGGACACCAAGCCCTGCAGTCCCAGGGTGCGGGCACGCAGCGTGCTGCCTTGGGCAGGGTGCAGGACGGGCTTCCTCCTCGCTGCTGAGAAGATGAAGTGGTTGAATGTGAAAGTGGAAAGAATCGCTCACTCCCTTCTTCATTCTCTCACGCGTTTGGGCTTTTATAAAATTTTAATCTGGCTCCACCAGTTCTCATTGATTTTTGGGAAACAGGATATTTTAGTAGCTTGGAATGAGATGAAATGCTTGCAAAGCCCATATGGTGCTTGTTTTAGGCAAAGGGTCAGCAAGGTTTTAGAAAGTATTTAAATATTTGGTTTACACGATTAGAATAGATTGTCTGGAATGGAGTCCATTACCCGAGGTGGTTCCTGCCGCGCAGTTTTGTTTTTCACTGCAGTTCTTTGGGGTATGAGGTAGGTGTTCTGGCAGTGCAAGGCCTGAGCACCGTAAAAGTTAAGGGCTGTGAAGAAATGCTGTAGATGGGGTTCTGGACGCCGCCAGAGCCATAGGTGTCTGTTGTGGCGCTTTTTGCAAGCCACAGTTTGGAAAATCCATTCTGGTCAAGTGAGCAGTGGTGCAGATGGCCTCCGACCCCACAGTGAAGCACCCACAGGGCGTTGTTAGAAGCAGGCTTTTCCTCTACCCACAGGCAAGGCTTTCAAATGGGATTTGTGTTTCTTGAGAAGTACGGCCCGACTGATTCCTTGTAGGTGTCTTTTTGTCTTCAGGTTTGAATGTTCTTAATCTTTCTGTCCTCGATTTTTCACGATCTTTGCATAATCCATCCATTAGGGAAGATAAGCTGTTTATTTTGGGCTGTTCCTGTGGGGCTTTGCAGTACCTGCAGTGCCGTTCTCAGGTTCGCCCAGAAGGCACTGCTGAGAGAGGGGCATCGGCGCGGTGCGCACCCGGGTCTGGGGCTGCCGTTGGTGCTCTGTGCGGGCCGATGTGGGGCGGCTTCCGAGCCGCTGCCTGACCTCTGCTGCCTTCATCTCATCCAGTTGGAGACCAAACGCCTGCCATTGTTCCTCTGCTACGTGTTGTTGATATTTTTATATGAATTATGGAGCATCCTTTGATATCTGGAATTTCCCCTTATGCTCTTTTGTTACTTTTTATGAGTACTTTCTCCCTAACTTCAAAAGCAGTTTATCACCTTCGCGCAGACAGTCCCTGATCGCTGGTTTGGAGCTGTTGGCCATTCCTGGACCTGTTTTATGTGTTTCTCTCTAGAAACATTAAAAAAGGGCCATGATGTATGCAGACCTCAGACCTTTTTTGCTTGCATCCAAAGAGCCTCTCATCATGTGCTGCTTCTGGTGCTGCTGCATGTAGATGCTTTCTGTTGGTTTAAAAAATAAAAGAAAGACTAAAAGTAAGAGAGCAGTTAAATCTAACCCAGTCTGAATTGTGGTGGTGTGGCTGTTTCTTCCTAAGTCACCTGGAAATTATACATAGTATATAACACGTATTTTTAATCCCTCTCTTGACCTGTGCAGGAGCAGTGTGCGTTCCTGCAGTGGGCACTGCCTGCCCTCCTCTCCTCCTCCTTCTGCTGCTGTGGGACAGCAGCTCCGCACCCCCTGCTTTTGTGCAAGGGGAGGGCAGAAATCACTTTTTTGGTAGTCCAAAACGAAAAATAATTGGCACTAGGATAATTCACGTGAGTTGCCATTCCTTGACATTAGAGATTCCACTGAAGTACTCATAATTACTGTTAATATCTTTCAGTGGAAACTTTCTCAGTGAGCGAGCACTGGCGAAGCAGTATTTAACGGTGCTGCTGGCATGATAAGAATGCAAATAAGCGTTATTAGCCTAATGATTCTGCTGTCACCGTGGCTGTGCAGCAGCAGTGTTGTGAATATGTCATGCAGCACCCGTGAATTTGGAAAGTGTGTCAAAACACAACTTCAATTAGTTTGCTCTAATTATGGCTCTAGAGAGTTCATATTACACTGCTTCTCACTAACAGGGCTTTTCTTATATGGACACACACAGCACATGAAGGGCCGGTGTGGGAGGCAGGAGGAAGCCGGGGCCAGGAGCATCCTGGGCACCTCGCAGCACACGGCCCTGCAGGGGGCTCTGGGCACAGCCTTCCGTTGGCTCCAAGAAACTGCCTGGGAGCATCCCTTGGTGCTGAGATGGAGATCTGAGGAACGTTTGCTGTGACAAAGGAGCAGGGAACACAGGGGCAGCCATGGTGCCGTGGGCTCTGCCCCGCGTGGCGTGAGTGCGTTCAGCTCTGCAGCATTGGGGAGATGCTCTTGTGCTTGTAGGTGAGCAGCTGGTGAGGGGTTAAAGCAGTAATTGTTTAAATCTTTCAGGCTTTCCTCCCAGTTCTGTGTAATTTGATGAAGAACTTCACCCTAATTAAATATTCAAATTAGGAATAAGTGTCAATATGGCTTCCCATTGCCTGGAATGATGATTAATTGTATTCAAAACTCTAGTGGCCGCTGTAATCTAAACCAAACCGTTGTTCTTGATTATTTCTGCAACGCATTTACCATGTTTTTGTTTTAAAATTTAAACTAGTAATTGATTTGCCATATGCCGCAGAGCTGCACATACTTTCACGATATGTGTTTAGGAACTTGGGGACTCTGTAATTGGGATTTTCTTGCTTTTCAAAGGCAGCCTCTCTTTTTCCTCTTTTTTTTTTTTTTTTTTTTTGTCTTCTACAATGCAAAATGATTTGGCTTTCACAATGCATAAGGAGAATGCATACTGGGTAGAAGTTATATCGATCTTGGCCGAAGTTTGCATTAATTTAAAATAGATTAGATTTTGTTTCCCATTTTTTCCCTACAATGTCATGCCTTTAAAGAAGAGGAGGAGAGGGAGAGAACCGATGTCATTGCAGCAGTCCTTACCTCTGTCTCTCGGCCATGGCCCCACACAGCACAGCCAGGGAGAGGCAACGAAACACCGCAGTGCTGCCGAGCAGAGCGCTGCAGGCTGAGCACCCACACAGCGCTCGCATGGTTGTGGCTCTGGGGCAGCAGTGCTGGGCTGGGCGCCTGGTGCTGGTTGGCCAGCAGGAACTGCACATACAGGAGGGAGGAGCCTCTTGCAGCAGGTGCTGGATGAACTTCTAAAATACTCTGCTTAGAAATTGACCTTTTCCAAATAGATCTGCTCTGCTTACGTGCGGAGTGTTTGCTACTGTTTTGTTCAGGTATGACGAAATTCATCCTCGGAACCAGCAAGAGAATTTCAGAAGATCTTTCTATTGGCTGTTCTGATGCCTCAGAAAGTGTTTTTGGATGCTGTTATTAAAAGAAAAACGAAACGAACAAAAAACCCGAACAGATGAGGAGCCTGCAGCGCCCGCAGGCAGCACTCTTGTGGTTTATAGCACGTCTGTGACAAACTGCCTCTGCTGGCAGAGCCCCGTACAGATTCTGTTTTAACAAAATACTGTTTGCTAAATTTGAAATTATTTTCACACCACCTTTCTTGTTAGAAATAGCTCTGGGAAGAACAGCAAATTCAAACCGATTTTTGCTTTTTCTTATTTTATCCACGCTGTTCACCATCAGCCACATCAAGATCTGAAAATATGTGGTTCTTCACAAAATCTGGCTTCTTAATAAGGCAGACAGTTTCCAGATGATTTGCTCAAAAGATAAAACCCGCTGCTGAGAGCATGGGTCTGATTCCTCCTGGATAATATCCAGGGCTCCTGCAGCTGCAGCACAGAGCGCCGGGTTCCCTGGCAGTGGGCAGTGCTGGGCACCTGCAGGTGGGCAGCTCTGCTGGGTGAGGTGATGGCCACTGCCTTTGCACTTGTTCCAGACTGAGCCCTGCTACGAGTGTTGTCATTGCACGTGGCGATGTGATGCAGACGATGAATGATAATGTTTTACAAAAGTTCACGCGGACCTGAGATCAGTGTTAGAAAAATACAAGTTTGAGTTGCAGGGCACGCTCGCTGCTGCCTGCAGCAAGGGTGATGGGTAGCATTTGGCTGCTCTGCAGAGGGACAGGGAGCAGGCAGCCCACCTGGGGCTCCTCGGGAGCCACCTCGGCCAATGGGGGCATCTTCTGCTCTGCAGTAACTTTGTCTCCCTTTCTCTTCTTCAGGCATATCTCACTGACGCTTCCTGCTAGCTTTCGTGGCAAAAGTCACAGCCGCCTGGACTTGGAGCACCAGCACTCAAACCTGTATGCCATATCAGGTAAGCTGGCGCACGCCGTGGTTTCTCTGCTTCTCAGTAACCAGAAGGTTAACCAAGTTAAAGCAGACTTGTTTGCATGAATGGCAGGTGGGTGGTGTCTCTGAAATGCACCCCAGATCTGTGCAGGTGCCATTGAAGCACTGAGCAGCAGGAATGCAGAGGGACCACAAAACACCTGGGCAGGAGTGTTGTTAGTAGTGAGTGTTACTGACTGAGGAGATGGCAGCCGTCAGCGAGGGATGCAGCTGCCCACAGTGACTCCAGGTGAGAGCTCTGGTGAAAGCAGCGCTGGCACAAACTTTGCTTCTCAGTTTTTTTATGACCTTCACTGGTGAGTTGTGTCAGACATCTCAGCTCATGTCCTGGGAGGCTCATCCTGCATTGCAAAGAGGAGTTTTCATACACGCAGTTCTTTGCTATGTGCAACGTACTTACGAAAAACAAGTGATGTTAGGGCAAATTTGAAATCAGATGTGGAGGTGAAGTTAGAAAGAAATTAGAATACAGGTTGTTCTGCTCTCCATTTGCTAATCCAGGCTGGTATGCTAATGCTGGAGATAGTGATAGCTTCCAGATGCTGATGTGGAACTGCCTATGAATATTTTTGCTGGTTTTTATTTTTACATAGTCTGTAGGGGAGATGTGTGTTTAAATAGCGTGCTGAGGCTCAAGCCCAAACGTCTGCCTATGTGGGTATAGGTAATTTTTTACTGTGCTTTAGGACCACATGGTGGCTTTGTTTTGGAACTGAGGTCCCCGTTGAGCTGTCCCTGACAGCTCTGCTCTTCTGAAAAGGTTCTGCCTTGAAGTGGTGATTCCTTGGAAGATGAGAATGCTGAGGACTGCAGCATGCTTCTGGGGCCCAGCACAAAGAGGCAGGGATACTCTAGAGAGCTGTGCTTCAGAGTCTCTCACTCCTGCAAGTGCTGAGAGCTCTGCACTCTGGAAGCTATTCACAAAGCACAGCAAAAGGACTTTGGGTTCTGCAGACTAAAGAAGAGTGTTACGTGCACAGGAGTACATTTCACCTGCCTGTCCTCTTATGGGGCTGTCTTTTAATCTAGTTCAGCTAAGCAGTGTGGGAGATTTTTATTTAAAATTAATTATTTTTGAGCACTGTTACACCTGAACAAATATTGTTATAGCCATAGTAGAAACACACTTGGTAGCAGTTTTCTCTTTGTTACAACATTTTTGCAAGAGGAGAAAAATACTTGCTTTAGACCTGACTGTCAAAATCTAATGAAAGTGAGCTCCATTTACCTGGCTGGAATGGATTCTCAGGACAGCTTGGAAGCCCAGAAGCAGCAGCAGTGGATTTGGTGGGCTGTACAGTAAGTGCTGCTTGTGCAGGTTCATAGAAGATGGTGGCAAAAATGTTCCATTCACAGGTCCTTTCCATTAATAGTGAGTGGCACTTCTTACATGGGAACATGGCATTAATTCATGTACCATAATCAAAGGGTTATTTAAGAGGTAATCTCTGACTGAAACTGCAGCTTCAGGTTCCTAAATAGACAGAATATAACAGTGGCATAATTCTTGTCAGTACTCGTTTTTCTTGTTACCTTCCTGCCCTAATAGGTTTAGAAATGTAAGGGGAAGCATGCTCTGTTCTCATGCTCACGAGGCCATCCTGCACAGAGGATGGCAGAGCTGTGTTTTCTCTTCTGATGCGGCATCAAAAGCACTGGTGGAAGCAGCGCTTCCGCTTGAGAGTTGCTGGGCATGACTGCCTCTGGGACTGCCTCTGCTTGCAGCATGAGCAGCCTGGAAAAACAACCCGTTCTGCGAATATCTGGAATGTCTTACAGGATAGTTATAGGCATGGCATAAAACAGACCTACAAAACTAGGCATGGCATCATTTGCACAAAGACATTTCACTCAAAGTGCATGGCTGGGTGTGTTCCCCCACACTGCACGTTCTCTGCCAGGCACGTTGTTACCCGAGTTGTGCATACCGTGGTGTAATGGCTACTGCAGCTGGGGGACAATTCTGTAGAAACGCTTTTGTCATGCGAAACATCCTTTGTGTTGGCAGGGATCTTCGTTTGCACCTCTGGACCGCTGCAGCCTTGTCAGCAGCTGTGGTGAGGTGCTGGGACAATTCCCTCTGCGTACTTAAACCTAACCGAGGCAGATCAACCCCAAGGCGTGTGGTGGAAACCATTCAGAAGTTTCCTGTTGTGTAGGAGCAATTCTCAGCCAGTCTCTTTTATCCGTGCTGCAGTGTTGGTGTCTCACTGCAGTGCCATGGCAACAGGACATTTAGGAGCGCTTCTGCACTGCTGCCCTGAGTGCTCCGAGGCCAGGGTCTGGGGGGGAACCCGGCGGTGCAGGGAGGTGGGGGGGGAGCGGTGGGGAGCAGGCCTTGCTGACGTGCACCCGAGCTGCTGGCTCCCTCTCTTGGCTCCTGGCAAAATGCAAGGCTCCTGGCTGAAGGAAACAAAAGCCATTACGGGCAGCCTCTTATCTCCTAGTTCTGGTGTCGCCTTGGTCTGAACTGTGGTAAGAAGGGGATGGGATATTTAGAGAGAGCTGCAGAGGAGCTGAAGGTCTGTGCTGTGGGCTCAGCGTTGTCCCGGCACGTGACACTGGGGAGGACTCGGCCTGTTGTGGTGAGTGAGGGGAGCAGCCTGCCCTGTGTCTCAACATATGGGTTGGTAGAAATTGCCATACCCCCACTGGAACCGTCCTATACTCCTCTGTGCATATAATGTGATTACTGTTGCAGAGTTGGAGTCGAGGAAATAATGGCCCTGAAAGCAGTAATTACAGTTTTGGCCATCCGGGTGTCATTTCCAGTCTCTGCAGTTGATCATGGGTGGCCAGCGGATGTCCTGGCTGCACCACAGATGATGAACCTGCCTTTGGCAGGATGCTGAGGGGAGACCCACACCTCCCAAGTGTGCAACGCAGAACTGCTGCAGGAGGAGCTGCAATAGACCTGACGCTGCTGGGATTGTGGTGCTGCAAGGAGCACAGTGCTGAGGGCTGACAGGTGTAATATGCATGTTCCAATGGGCAGCAGCTGGAAGAAGAACGAGGCTGCTCTAGGCAGTCCTATCAGCAGGCACTGCTTGGTATTTCACAGGACAGACTTTCTTCATGGCCTTCAGCTTAATTAAGATGTGACTACATACTGCCTTCATTTCAGGCTGTGGCATCATCCGGCTGCATACTGCTTTGTCTTACTGGAGCCACAAGGATGGAGGGAGAAGGGAGCACTCACAGGCAGCTGCTGATGTTAACACATAGGGAAAATTCCTGAATGAAGTGAAAAATTATTTATAATAATGGTACTCAAATAGAAGGGAAATAAGTCACTTTAAGGGTATATAAATTTTTATGATAGTATATAAACAGTCATAGCTTGCCTTGTCTCCCATCTATCCCTGCAGAGAATGAGGGCAACATCTAGCATAAAGAAAAATATAGTAAGAAAACAAAGAAATGAATGGGAAGAGCTGGAGGATTGATCGCTTGGTGTATTTGTATATCCTGATGTAAGAGGTGCTGCTGACAGGTGGCCAGGTTTCTTCTGTACAGAACCATGTGTGTGCTGTCAGGGCGGTGCGAGCAGCCTTGTTCCGATTGATGAATTGCCTGCTTTCTTGATTAAACCTTCCGTCACTTAAGAAACAAAAAGGCTGTGTTTGGATGGCAGAGTGGGACACGTCAAAAAAATCTGTCTGCTTTACCTTTGTGCAGATGTTGGGCACAGACTGTAACATGTATTATTAAAATGAATGTGGCATTTACTGTGCATTATTTCTTTCCTGGGAGAAAGGACCTGTAAATTATATGCTAATAATCAGCTTTAACCCTTTCAGAAACCAAGAGATGCAGCAGTGTGAATATTCTTGCAGGCCTCGCTAATTGGATGGTCCTTAATGCCACTGCAGCTCTCTGAAGTTAATCACAGTGTGTGTCAGGGCAGGATGCCACTGCCTCCAGAGTCTCACCTGCAGGAAGTGCTGTGCTGTGTGAGTGCCAGCGAGCAAAGCGTGGTGGTGGATGCTGCGCTGCCGGGGCTGTGCCAGGGGCAGCAGTGCAGGCCTGCTGGCAGGGCAGGCTGTGACTGCAGCTCCCAACTTCCTGCACCGCTCCAGGTTTGGTTTTGCTTGAGTTGCTTTGACCTGCAAGCTGGGCATACGTGATCAAGTTGCCATCTCGAGAAAAGAATTAGGGGTGGAACGAGGCCTTAGCATTCCTTTTGGAGCACGTGGCGGGACGTTGTTGGACACTAGCTGCTGAGCTTGCAGAATGAGGTTCCAACCTGCTCAGCCATGGGCTCTGTCTGGCCCCGTGCCTCCCGCTGTGCAGTTCCTTGCTCGTGGGGGATGAGGCCCCTGCTGGCACTGTGCGTGCCCTGCTGGCAGCCCCAGCTCTGCTGTGAGGCTTTCTGCTGCTGGCTCCTGAGTCCTGCTACAAGGGGGTGTCTGTGGGTTCTGCTGCCCATTCTGACTGCCTCATATACAATGTCTCTGTGTACCTTCTGGAGTTTGATGCACTCAGACTGTCAAGTCAGAAATTGCATTGCATGAACTGCCCCATCAGAATATGTGTGTACAAAATAAATAGAGCCTCTTTGACCAATCTTGTATTTGAAACAAGTGCACAAATGTTCAAATGCTGCTCCAGCTCTCACCTTCTGGGCAGGAACCTGACTTCCATCATGTCACCCTCTGCTTCTGCAGGTTGCTGCTCTGGCATTGCCTGGAGGTAACAAGGTGATCTGCTACCCTTGGATGTGACCAAGTTTCATTTATTTTGAGCATTTAAATACAGAAGCTGCACTGAAAAAAGGCAACACAAACAGTATACTTTGCTGCCTGTTAGTATACGGTGTTTCAAATGACCCTTGCTGCTTTGCGGCTTCTGGCCATGCCACTGCTGCAGCCCCTCATGTGTGGCTCCTGGAGGAGCTGAGCTGTGCAAGGGGCAGGACTGCATCATGGAGCTGCTGGGACTGGGGAGCCCAACGCCTGCAACACG